CTCTCAGGACCAAACTATGAGACCTTTTATGGCTTTTCGGAATGCCTGCAATAGATTAAAGAAGGAAAAAACACTCAAGCATTTCGTATCTGCTGACAGCATTTGTGGCTGTCTGTCCTTGAGAGAGCTGTCCATTTCAGTCAAAAGCTTGTTGTAGCCTCAAGAGCTTGTCTTTGGATTTGAGACAACTCCATCGGAGGCAGTCTGATGTTTCCAGGTTAATGTTCATGCTTGCAGCAATGGCCTCTAACCTAAGGGTGATGGCCTCCACCCTAGTAGCAATGGCCTCCAACCTAACAGCAAGGCTTTTGGATAGCACAGGCCCAAACGAAGACATTCCTGCTTGACCACTGTGTTCATCGACTCCTGCAAACTTCAACATGATGCAAACCTGGCAAACCTACATTCCCAGGCTTTTGCAGTTCAACACCCATGCTTTGCATGTCTCTGCCCCAATGTTCCGAAGCGCGAAACCGAAGTTGAGAACAACGTGTCGTCCTCGTAGCGTGTGGGGAACTTTTGCTCACATACGTCAAGCCTGCCCCGTCATTCAAGAATCATGCACAATGTCGCCTGATATGTTTAATGTCTTGAAATGGTCCTTCTTGCCCACTGGGAATTGAGTCCTTTGACACCTTTTGAAGCAAGCCAGGAGATCGCAAAGGCTCTTGGCAGCTTGTCTTGGATCGAAGCCGCAGTTGCGTCCATGACCTTGTGCTGTCACAAAGCTCTCTGAGTGACGACTTGATCACTCCGCGCCACTCAATCACACTGCGAGGCATACAGGGCATGACAGGTTTTTCTTGCTCAATCTGAGTTTAAGCAAATAGGAAACACATGGGAAATGTTTCCAAGGATCAGGCATCGTCAGCTGACTTTCCATCACCTCCACCGCCACCAGCCGACACCATGCTCTGCATGCCAAGAAGCAGTTTGAAGGCCTGCACACTGCAGTTGTGCAAGAGCTGATTTGAAATGGCACATTAAGCCAACCTCCTCTTGTGCGCATGTGATGTTGCCTTGGTGCAGTTCAATCCTTTATCTGAGGCAACCGGGTAAGAATGGGTAAGAGCAGAAAAGTCGATCACTGGGCTGTTGCTGGGGTTGCAGCAATTGTCGTGAAGTCCAAATGCTTCAGGCATGGGATAAAGCCTAAAGTTCATTAAGTAATGCAATGCGCGAAGGTCAAAAAATTGTTGCCTACAGCTAGAATCATACAGCTTTGTCAGGCATCAGGTCAGGGCGGCAAGCCGCGGATATACTCCACAAAGTCCTTCCAAAGTGGGAATCTGACTTCCAACACCTTCGAGGCTGAATGCTTGGCCTCGACGTTCTCTGCGTTGGGAGCATAGTACAATCCACTGGCAGAATACCTACAAGATTCTGGGGAACAAGAAGCTACTAGTAACAAAGGGCATCGCTACTAGGAGCAAGGACGCTACTAGTAGCTCCTGGCCTTACTACCAGGAACAAGAAGCTACTATATACAAGATTCTGCAAGATGTCCAGACTTGTTCAACAAAAGTCGTGGAGTGAAAGCCCCGTCCCAAGGGCACTTGTACTTGTCTGTTTGGTTGACGGCTTCTGGGCAAATAAAGGTGGCCAGGATCCTGGCACAAATCTGTCGAAGGTGCAACAGTATGCGGTGCAATGGCAACTTCGATCAAACTTTGTGAGGGAACGTAGAGATCAAGAGCTTGTCTTTGTCGTCAGTGACACGCCCTCCATAGTTGATCTGAGCTCCCAAAAAGTTGAGCACTTTGTAGGGCACGTCCTGGTATGAAATTGTTAGTCTCATAAGTGCAAGAAAACCATCCCTCGCAAGCAATGCACAAAGACTTCTTTCTATAATATACCGATTCCTTGTACTTGTTGACAAAAAGCATCAGCTGCTGGCGGCAAACTGCCAAATCCTGAGCATCTTTGGCATGTTTTCACTTGCGTATGCACTTTGGCTGCACCTCCGGAGTGAAGCCGTAGGGAATGTTCCAACCAATCGGACCAAACTTGCGCCGATCCTGCTTGAAATAAGGGATATCAATGATATCAAGAACAAGTTAGGCAGGTAAGGCGGCAAAATGCGAGCCCCACACCTGGACGACTGCATGGAAGAAGCAGAACCCAAATAGAAGACTCTTGAAGACCTCGGAACGTTTGAAGACATTCATTGCACAAAGTAACAAACACATCAAGCACATGAAAAACAACGCCACAAGAATGGATAGAAAACACAGTGGTTGTTTGCTTCAAATCAGGCGTTCACTGAAGGCTTGTTTGACTCCTCAAAGAGCTTGTCACTGACTGTTGAGTAAGATCGAAGCCTCAAGCTAGAAAGCACGTCAAGATGTATAAAGCAATTAAACAAAACTCTAGACAATTGTGCACGTCGCCAGAATGGCAAAGGTCACTAGGAACAGTGCAAATTGGCCCGCAATCCAGAAGGAGGTTCGTTGGTCATCTTTACGCCGTTTTGCAGCACCTTGCATGTTCTTGCGACGCTGCGCCGTCGCTAACGTGAACGTTTTGGTTGCAGCCTGCACGGGGAATGACTTGGCTGGCATCGAAGTCAGCCAAAGCCGGAAATTGTTGGACATTGTCTCCGGATCGAGCTGCTCAACCTTAGAAGACAAACAAGTAGCACGACCAAGCAATGTCAGTAGATCGTCGCATGCAAATGCCTGCAAGCATGCATGTTGAAAAGGATAGGAGCCAGAAAATTGGCAAACACAAAGCTTTAGCGAGGTTTTCCGGCCTCGAGCAACACAGGAACCAGCGACAGCAAGCAAAGGAAAACATCAAGACCAAAGCACAAAGAAAAGCCAATCTGTGCGCAAACAAAGTAAAAGGGCGAAAGAGCGGGGTAAACAGGCGAGGGAAAAGGGATGAAACGGGCTAAGGACCTATGGAAAGCAATGCGTCAAGGCGATGAAAGCTAGAAATCGAAATAAAAGGGGCAAATAAGCAGCACAACAAAAAAACATCACGGAGTGCTTTGCTCAGAACTCAGCATGGTTTGATAGTTAGCATCTTTGGTTTCTTTTCAGATGCTTCAGCAAGGCTGCCTGAAACTCAAAAATGTTTTGTATAAAATACAATATTGAAATTATCAACCGACTATAGGTGTATACACCCGACTATTGTTCTAATGTACAAGTTTTAATGTTAAGTTTCCCTTAAACAGAAATCAAATTATTGGTGCGAGTGCTTCTTCAAGGAAGCGTGAGCTATCCCGCGTCCAGTAGCTAGCAGCTATATAACTTGTAGGTACTAGCTACCTCATGTCCTTACTTAATTAAGTAGGTAGTCTCTACTTAATTAAGTAGGAGGGGAGGAGCGGCCCAAAAGAAACTCTCATTGTACAATACTAAAAGTCTCAAGGTCCGAGCAATAGCCTCCAGAGTCGGCATCCAGGACCTTGAAGCAATCGAAGAAACTGGCTGTGAGAAAACTTCAAGCGCATTGGAAAACTTTGTCTACTTATATATGACAAACAAACAAACCATTGTCAACTTATGGCATGCTAAGGCAGTTGACAAAGGGTTGTTTGTCTCTGCGAAAACGTGTCTGGCTCTCAAGATCTCTCAAGCTACTTCAAAAAATTGGGGGGTGGTGCTGCATCAGGTGGCAGTTCGACAGCAACACCCATCCTCTGTGGCAAACGAAGCAAACATGGACAATCCTCTCTGTCTCTCTGTAACATTCTGTAACAATGATTGATTGAACAGTTAAGCAGATTGCACCTAGCCTCTCTAAGTGCAAATCATACCAGTTCCAGTGTTGATTCAATTCGGCGCAGGGCAACATCAGCCACATGAAAACATAATGCAACATAATACAACTGTTTGAATACCTCCGGAAGGAACATGAAGGAACAACACTACAACAAATTTCACGTCCTTGTTCTGGACCCCTCTTATCTTCCCTCTTTATTTCATCATACCGTGCCTCCGCTCTGGCGCGCAGAGTCGATCAATTTCTGTGCTCTGGGTCCTTGTCCTTGCCTTGGTTTCGATAATTGTTACTAGTAGCGTCCTTGCTCCTAGTAGTAAGGCCAGGAGCCCCTAGTAGCGTCCTTGCTCCTAGTAGCGATGCCAGGAGCCCCTAGTAGTTTCTTGTTACTGCTTGATATTGTGTGTTGCAATTCACTTCTTTGCGTTTCGAATCGAATTGAGGCTGCAACCCGAGGGAGATGGGCTCAAATTTCTTGGCCATTCCAACCCTTAGACTGCTGAGGTGGCATAGCCATGTCACGCACTTCTGCCACGCCAAGCTGCTGCTCGGCAAAGCGAATCACGTCAGAGACGGGATCTGTACCAGGAGAGAGGATGAAGATCAGGGGAGTCGTGTTGACCTGAACTGGAATCTTTGGACCAAGCAGAAAGGGCAATAACTCATCTGAGACCAAGACAGAGTCAGCATATGATTTGGCAATGTCAAAAGTCGGAGGATCCACAAATTTTCCTCCAATCTCCTTCGCAGAATCCAAAACACACAACCAAATACCTAGTCACCTCTGCCAAGAGTCTGAAAATATTCTACTGTCTAGAAAACCCACCATGCGGACAAGAAGACAAAGCAAGACCTGCGTGATAAAATCGATGATGGCAGCTTTCAGGCAATCAATACGGAAACTGCGCACAAAGCCTGGCAAAGCTTAAAGGCCGTATGCTGTAGCAGTTGCAGCCATCACGCACAGCATTCTGCTCAGAATAGAAGCGTCCATGTCAATGAAAAAGGAGCTTCAACTAACTACGGCTATCCCACCAAGTGAACAAAACTTACTATTTACGGGAATGGCTCGGAATGGCAACCTACCATTGTTTTTGGATGCTTTGAGGTTTTGTTTTGATTCAATGCTAACTCTGATGCAGAATCATCAAGCAAATCTGGGTGTCCCATGTTTCCCTTATGATTTATGATGCTCCTTCTGCATCTAGGTTTTGTGCCCAACTCCTTTTGAGCTGAAGGCCATGTGACTTTGCACATCAACCAATTGAGCATCAAAGGACTTGCCGCATCTCAGGGGAAAGCGTTGGGGGAATGAAGCCAGGTCCTGAAAGCAAATGGCGGACAAGATATGACAATACAAGACGGTGTCTGATCAGTGGTGCAGGTTTTCCTCCTTGAAACATCACATACAAAGAGCTTACATGGCAAGGGTTGGCAAATTTCCTTCCACTCAATGGTTTGACAGGCGAGGGTTGGGGCGAGCCCATTGAGCCTTGCTTTACACGTGGACAGTACACCTGCTACAGTAGGCTAATAAGTGAAGGAGGTTTAGCAGCGAAACTTCCTTGTGGGGGCAAAGCAAGTAGCCAAAACACACACTTAGATGCACTGCTCAACTGAATGAACATTCGTTCAGTTAGTGGTTTCCAAGTGCATGAACGCTTTAATTTACTGCAGTAGACCTTGACTCCCATAACGGAGTGGCGATGGCGATGGGTCAGAAGAACCAGTAATGCTTAACACAGGTGAAACAGAGTGTATTGGCATTAGACGAGTGCATTAGAACTACAGTATACTGCAAAACACCGAATTAGACAGCTTTGTCCTTACCTAGGATTCAGAATCCAGATGCAGGTACACATTCAGGAGTCCCTGAATGCTTCCAGCAGTCTTCCGTAGCTTCGTTGGGCAACGTGGGAAGACTGGCCGTTGTCCCCCTGCATATTAGATGCAAAACCTGTTGGCAACCCTTGGAAACAGGGTGTGACACACTCTGACATTGGTATTCAGTTAACTCAGTTCCCACGTTGGGAAGGAAGGCGATGGAACAGCAAGGTGGCAAAGTCCGTTGAAAAGTATTGTTGAACATTGTTCAAATCGGCGATCAAAGCGGCGGCGCAGCTGCTGGGGAAGAGTAGGTTTGTGGGAGGTATCATGAACAACCATGGAAGCAAACGAAAGAGATTGGAACAGCGTGGTCAAAAGTTTAAAACTGGCGCAGGTACGAGAGAATATCACATCCGATCAGCAGCGTCTTTGTTAGGCAGTGACTGCTGAAAGGATCACTGCCCCCCTGCATGTGAAGCCGTGGTGAAGGCGGTGGTGGAGGCGAACCCTTGGCCCAGGGGTTGACACACACAGGTCGCCGTAATCGGCGCTTTTTCCTTTCAAAAACCGGCTGCAAGCAATTGGGTTGTGTCCTTTTTGGACGTAGAGCTTCACTAGCTCAGTGGCAGCAGCTTCAGCGCTTGAAGGTGGAAAGGTGTATTTGTGGATAGTGTGAAGTCGTAGTGTGTTCATGCAAATCGAATTAAACTGCTGAAAACTCAGGTCAGACTGCTTGAGTAAACATGCAAGATCGTGCGGAAAAATGCAAAATGGAAAAATGCAATCTCTGCGAAATGGCAAGTCCCGTGTTTAGGCCCGGCGGCCGTTGTGGCAGTTAATTCGGTGGAAGTGGTGGTGAATTCCAGTGAAATTCCTGTGAGCGGTGGTGAGGTCGGTTAATGCTTTCCCAGTGGAACAGCGCCCCAGTGACGGGGATCACACTCAGCACCCGAGTGGGACGGCTGAGCGAAACACACTCTGACATTGGTATTCAGTTAACTCCGTTCCCACGTTGGGAAGGAAGGCGATGGAACAGCAAGGTGGCAAAGTCCGTTGAAAAGTATTGTTGAACATTGTTCAAATCGGCGATCAAAACGGCGGCGCAGCTGCTGGGGAAGAGTAGGTTTGTGGGAGGTATCATGAACAACCATGGAAGCAAGCAAAAGAGATTGGAACAGCGTGGTCAAAAGTTTAAAACTGGCGCAGGTACGTTCTGAGAGCGTCCTCTCTGAATATCACATCCGATCAGCAGCGTCTTTGTTAGGCAGTGACTGCTGAAAGGATCACTGCCCCCCTGCATGTGAAACCGTGGTGAAGGCGGTGGTGGAGGCGAACCCTTGGCCCAGGGGTTGACACACACACACACACATCACAAGAGATGCGGACCTTCTCAGTCGAGTCTTCTCAGGTGTGAACAAATGTGCCTCTATTTCATCACCGCGCGGCAAAGGCTGCATGATTATGATCCTGCTGCTTGGGCAATCAAATAATTTAGGGAAGAAATGGAGTGCAGTTTTATGCTGCGGCGCAAGGCAGTGGGCATTTGCTTGCGCCTATAGCCAGCGTCTTGCTGGGTGGTGTCTTCCAAGTACGAAATGTTTTAAGCTGGGTATGTGGGTACTGGTGGAACATGGATGAACATGGTGAAACCATTGGACACTTTTGTGACCAAGAATCAGACTTACAGGGGTGGCCCAGTGCTTGTTGTTTGGAGAGCAAGGGCTGAGAGAGCCACATGCGCTGAACCGTTTTGCAATTGTGTTGCAATTGATTCCATGCTGATTATAGAAGTACTCCCTGCCTGCAGCTTCACCTTGTGTCCGCTGTCTCTGCGGCCAATGCTTTGTTGTCAAGCCTGATGCCACTGCCTTGACCAGCCGACAGCTACAACTACAGGGCCTGACTCGACATCTCCATTGTAAAAATATGCAGATTGATACTTGCATCTCCCCGCGAACCTGGGCTCTCCAAGACGCCAGGGTTTCCTTCCAACATAATCTAATTCCAAAGGTCCAAAAGGTCCTAGTTCCTTTGCGCATGTTCATCAAAATGTAAAATAAATTAAAGATAATCAATGGTCCTGATCCTCTGCAAAGTGCCGCGGGACCATGCAAACCTGGTCGCTAGAGACTCGCAAGGTTGGTCATCGACATCACGACAGCTTAGATCAGGACGGGCACCGCCATCCGAAGCAATTCCAAGGGATCACCGCGTTGAATGTCTCTTGCAAATGCAATGTCACCTTTCCATGTCAGTTGTTCAAAGTCAAGATCGCACAGGACAAACGGAAGTGACCAGTTGGACACCCATTACTTAATGCAGCCTTCAACTCCTGGAGCAGGTTCGCTTCCATGCACAAGTCTCCCATCCCACCTGATTATGCTCAAAAAGTCCAGCACGGAACAATGACCCTTGTTGCAGAGCATGCTAGCATGCTGAGATGCTGGTATTCAACTATATAGTGATTTGAACAAGCGGCAGAAGCATATCTCCGGGACTTAAGCGAATTCCAACTGCTCGCTGTTGCCAAATGTCGTCTTCCAAGGCTAAGAAATCACCTGGGAATGAGTGAACTTGTTGACAGGCAAAAGGTAGCAATCCCCGGGCTCTTCATAGAAGAAACATTCCGACGTATCTGAGTAAACCTAGTTGCCACGTTGGAAGGACCCCAAATCGGAGGCTCACAGGCCATTTGCATGGGGTTTGGCCCCTACCATTCCCAGAAGCACTATCTATACCTTAGCCACTGGAGGGATGGCTTGGGGGGGACCCCCAAATCATCAATTTAATGGGTTGTTTGATAATAAACCATTCTTTGGGGGTACCCCCCATTTATGGAAACCTCCATATATCGTCAGGATGTATGCATATTATCACTACCAGTCTCGTGAAGGACAGTATAACTTGTGTTTGGCTGTGTCTTGAGGATTCATACTGCACCATGTGGGCGGTCTTGGTGCAAAGGAATATGACATGCTGTACCAACACCTCTCGAACCCTCCAAACGTGTCTTCCGAAGAACTCCAAACTTCACTTGAGAAACATCCCAAGCTGCTACGAACGTTGCCATATGGATCCATATGGTGCCAATTTGGAGTTGCCAAATGATCGGGACACCGTGACACCTCCAAAAGAACAATAATACCGTACCCCTGAACGACCATGTGAAAAAATAGATTGAACATTAATGATACACTCTAGACATCTCTAGACCCTACACAGAAAGTGAGCAAGTCTATATAATCTCAACGCGGTGCAAGTTCTGCCCAATCCATTTATGGCAACCCTCATATAATATCTTACATGTCAAAGCATCATTGTTAAATTGGACATGGTCAAAAGTGTATGTTGCTGCCAAACGAAAAACACTGCATTCGATAATGTAAAAGTGTAACGTGGGAGGTTATAGTATGATGCGTTGTTCACTGACAAAAGGTTGAAATGGTAGGCATGCTTTGATATGGCATAATCCTTTGCTGCTCTACCACCTCCACATATACTGTACTTGTACTCTCAACATCGCAGCTTCAAGCCTCTTTTTCGTAGACGATGAAGATCCCCTCCAAGACTTTCACGAAATTCTTCATGAAATTCAGGGACGTGGCTTCCTCTGAAATCAACCACACTTAAGCACATGTTCATCATATCAAATGACATATGTCACATGTGAGACTTCTTTGCCTCTTTGTTAAAGGCAACTGCCGTTTTGCATAATTACAGAGGGCTGCTAAACGCCAAACTCTCCTGGAATGCACACGAAGCCACCAGTGGATGCTGGATCAGCACTGCATAGGTTCACGATGCCCTGCGCAGTCAACGAACCCAATTCAGCGCATGCAACACAGCGGCTCAGCGCCTGGACAGCTAGAAGTTCACGGCGTTTGAACACCTTACAGAAACAACGACACCACAAAATTAGTCCGTCATCAGTCAGCAATCCGGAGAATTGGATGCTTCATGCTTGAAAGAGGCATTCTGATCAACATGAAGCCAACATCCACGAGTTTTCCAACTTTCTGAGATCTGCTGAGGCTTCTTTTGCCAGGGCCGCCAAAGAATAAGGCCGTCCTGTGGCACCAAATGTCTGCTGTAAGCTTCAGTCACAATTCCCCAAAGGTTTGACACATTTAGTGAGTCTGAAAGCGAAAACTGTGCTATATACATCTGGCATTTGGAATGATCAAGGAGAAACATATGCAATCTATAACTTGAATCTTGCAGCAAGGCTCCATCGAAGTCAAAAGTTCGTGAGGCTCAACATCCTTGAATGTGCAGGGGGGTTGAGGATGCAAGTCATTTCCAAATGAGGTCAACAATTGCATGGTGTTTCCGGTAAAATGCACTACCCTGCTATTTGAGCACATCGGTGCAAACTGGGCTTTATTTGCAATGCTGCATTCCGGTATTTTGAAGTGCTGCTTTGTACTGTAATTGAGCAACCCCAACACCATCCTGAATGATGTGCTGCATTAACTCAAACATCAAGACATCATGATTTGGATATAGAACTCTAAGCGCCAGGAAACCCATTGGCTTGCAAAAATTGACTGCACTACCTGGGAAGCTTGTCTCATGTCTGAGAAAGTTGCATGTCTTAGTGTCACTCAACAGCTTGCTTCTCTGGGCCTCTCCCTTTTGCAGAGTCTCTGATTGGCACAACTTGGGAAACTTTGCGAAACTTGTTTGTGCCAAACCAAGCCACAGAGTGCCCTCTTACCTTCCACGCTGCCATCGCCTGTCCAGCACCTCTCACACAAACAATGCCAGTGGAGCGGTTGTCCCTTGGCCTCATGAGCAAAGGGGCAAAAAATAGAAACATACATTTCACACATGGCCAGCCATGGGGGCTCAACATGCAATCAAAGCTCAACAGTAACACCAGGCAGGCAGTGCAAAAGCCCATCTTAAAACCGAGCTAGACACCGAAACCACCTCAAGTACAATTCTTTAGATATGTATTTGTTCAAGCGAAACCAAAAGACTTCCCACTCAAACAAAACACCAAATTTGCCGAGTTGGATTCAACAATTGTGTTAGCTGCTTCAACATGTTAGCTGCTTCAAAATTGGATTCGAATAACTAGATTCATAAGGAATCAATTTTTGGTGCTGCAAAACTAGGAAGCAATCAAGGTCCATGTACAGAATGCAGCTGAGAGACCAGCGGTCATCTGCCATCGTCCAAGTCAAGGGATCATTTCTTGAGACTCTGCCTTTGTGCTCAACTAGGAGCAAGGACGCTACTGGGAGCCCAGGGCATCGCTACTTGTGCTTGAATCATTTTCAGCTCAATCTCTGGTAGCCATGTTTAGGATGTGCCAAGGCCCTGCTCTAAGACCCGGACCTCCACCGCCAAAACCTTCAAGCAACTTTCTGTTGGCTTGCAGTGATTCCCCTGAATTCTTTTTTCGAGAACTGCATTCTATTCTGCAAGTGACCATGGAACACATTCATGCGGCATCACTTCCCGGCACAAAACAAACATTCTCCCACCTTCAAGCCATTGCCACAGCAGGTCCTGCAGCTCCTGAGAGCTAAGCAGTCACAGTGCAGTGAGAGCATGAACTTGAAATCTTGCCATTTCTGACCCTTTCCGCACAAAGCAACGACTTACAAAGCAACTTCACCGCTGGATAGTTTCTCACCTGAAGGCTTGCAAACGGCGGTTTTAACAGATTGTTAATAAGCACATTGGTATACGTAATTACATATATACTCTGTACATTCATGGTGTCGCTGTATGCTCCAACTTTTGCTGTGGTCCTTGACTTCGTCTCTGCATACTTCTCTGATCACAACCACGCCTTTCTCCCTCAAGGCATCCAACCAACCTGCAAGTGGTTCCCCCTGCTCCCCACTTGGCAAACAGTTGAGCGTTTCTGAAAACCTTGATGAAATCCCATGTCGTATCATTGGGCTTACGCTTATGCTTACGCTGCCTTACGCGACTCACATGTTTGCTTACGCGGTACACTTGGAGCAAGAACGGCTTACGCAGACCTTACGCAACGCCTGTCTCGCACAAAATGCAGCTGACACCACAACGCGAGCTTACGCGCTGCATACTTTGTACAATGGACATTTA